ACTCGGAGGACTTTCTGAGCACACTGGCCTTACGTCAATATATTCCTTACCAATAACGTTTCGATCAAATGTTGGGTTTTGGGTTAGAGTGCACATAGTCAGGATTCTCGGCATCTCTGGAGCCCTGGGCAAACGAGTGATTCTGGAGTATTCCCCTACTATAGGAGTGATCATGCGGCTACTGACATGGACCCTCCTGGGAAGCCAGCTCAATAGGGCGAATGTCCAGTTCGTCCACGCGTGCGTACTGGTGATATCGATGGGGACTACTCTAGAAGTGACGATATCTTTGGGCGAGTCAGTGCTGGGGTTTTGTGTTGGAGCTGTTAGAATAGAATTTCATAAAAATTTAAGAAAAAGTCGAAAAATTTTATGGAAATTTCTGTGAAATTGACAGCTAATTTTCTCTTTTTTTCTCTTCCTGCTTTCCCGCCCCGAACATGGAGCGGCTGCGAGAATTATGGTGGTGGTGTTACCAACCGAATGGGCGATCCAGCGAATATGCGTTGGAGTTGGAAGTCGATCGAAATGAGGAAGATGCAGTTTCCTCAACGCAGGTCTGAAATATTCACAACGTCCGAATCGGACTGGCGGGAAAATTCGGCAATTTATTATGAGAGTATCTTTAGGTTGCCCATGCAAGATTCAAAATAGGTCCAGATTTGTACATGCGGCTGGCGAGGTCAACTGCTGAGGTCTCTGACGTTTATTCTGCGAGTGCTTCCTATTGTGTTCATAAAATTATGTAATGTCCTTCCGTGGCTTTGCGTTATTAGGAGAAAAGGAGGAAAATATTCGCTGTGCGCACAAAGGTATCTTTGAGGTTCGATTGACAAGATTCAAAATAGGTCGGGTCAGTGTTGGAAAATATCTTTGTTTTCCTCAGCTGAGCTCAGGAGTTTCCTATACAGTGTTGGAGGAATATACGCTCGCTTTCCTCGGCTGAGCTCAGGAGTTTCCTATACAGTGTTGGAGTAGGGATATATATTCGCTTTCCTCAGTTGCTGAGCTCAGGAGTTTCCACACTGATCAAAAGCGTATAGAATTCGTATAGAAATTTCCCAAAATTTCCCCAGAATTTTCATATGTAGATGGCAAGATGTACATATTTCCCCCGATCAGTTGAAGCCTTCACTTCATGTCATCAGCCGAACCTGAAAGTGACTCGGAGCTGCTCGACTCCTGGGCTGGCAGTGCGGTCTTTGACGAGGACCCTTCCTTATCTCGTCGAGCAACATCATCTCGATCACCGCCCTCTACCACTTCACGAGTCTCGGTACGGTTTTGGGCATGCTTTGAATCTTTGAGTGGTAACCTATGGATACTCTCAGGCATTCTTCACAGCTGGCAGGCGAGCTGTGTCCAACAGCATCAGCGCGACGGGGGCTCTGATAAAGGGGCTGTCGGAATCGCTGCCGGAAGCTCTGGCTGGACCGGAACCAGCGACTCCTGAGGTAAGTAAATCGATATAATCGTGCGTGAAAAACTCACATTCTCGTATTTTTTCTACAAATCTCGATAATATAATTCCTACACGTATAGTACATTTTATGAGGTTACCTTTCGCTTTGATCTCATATGTGGAAATATGAGAACGGATGTTCTAGTGCGAAAAATCGATGCTCACATTGAAAAAGGCAAAATCGGTGTGGTCGAATATGCATACGGTCAACCACACCTGTTGGTGACTATGAGGAAATTGTGGAAAAATTGTCGTACATTCCTAACGCGAATGTAAAATTTCATAATACAGCCGTGAGCTCATATTTTTCCATACTGGGTGAATTCTCTACGCTGTAAATTTCGACGCAATTTTGGTAGGTTGAAGAAATCCTACTTCACTTACGTCAGCTCCTCGCGGAGTTGCTGTTGGACATGTCCGGCTCGGCTGATGCGTCCTCTGTCACCGTTGGAATTCTCTCGGATATTCGCGTGAAAAAGTAAGTTTGGAATTTCCCATGTGGAAATGATGAAACGCCTATGTTAGTGACAAAATGGAAAATTCTGAGAAAATTCTGTGAAAATTTTGTCGATTTCTGTACATTTTTACTCAGATTCGTATATAAATTTTTGTAATTAACGAGGAAAATTCTGAGCGCAGCTGAGGAAAGCGAACGTAAATTGCAATACTGGCTCTCACTGCAAGTCGTGAATGTCGATATTATCCCCGGTGTTGAAATATGTGTTCACATTCCTCAGCCGAGCTCAGGGATTCTCTCACTAGTTATAGTAATCCAGGTAGAAGTGTACAGAAAACGATAAGATTTTCCCGAAATTTCCTCGTAATTTTCATATCATCACCAGCACATGCGGTTGAGCATGTGCATATTTTCTCACGCTGATTATTCCTGACATAGGATCGTATGTGCATGCGTGCAGAAATTTTGATCTTGGGTTTCACGGTGAGCATCGCGACAGTTTACGGTAGAGTTGTATCGGTCTAGCTGATGCTGAGATTCTTGAACTTGTCAGGTGTCTGGACGAAGCCGTACTAGCAACAACTTTTCTGGACGAGTTAGCTGACGCGCTGTTGGATATTTGGTGTGTTTTTACCCGTGTTAAAACGCCCGCTTTCACTCCATGTAGGTATGTCTCACGATTCGACGATGGAGTTTTGAGTAGCTGGAGCCCTGTATCACAGACAGCGTGGTTGCAACAGTTGTTGAAAGTCACTGTTGGTGCTGATATCAACAACTCTAGCGTCATCAAGTAGGTCCCTGGTTCGATCCCGTGCTCGGGCATTTTTGAATTTTATTGTAGAAAGCAATTTTGGAGATTATCAATTGAGTTTCACCCGTTTTACGCGAAGTGGCGTAATACTCCGTGAAAAACGCGATGTTCGCGGTGATATGCAGTAGTCGTGAAATATATTTTTCACTAGTGTTTTTCATATCACTAGAGTGAAACTCCAATGAGTTTTACGTTTCGAGTTTTTACCGGAAATTTCAGCAGTGAAAGCGAATGATGTTTTCATCATGGAAAATGCCAAACTACTGCATTTTTCGCGCAATAAAATGTGAAATATGTTTTTCACTAGTGTTTTTCATATCACTAGGGTGAAACTCCACTGAAGTGAAATGTGAAATATTTATTTTTTTCCGTTTTTTTTCTTCAGCGTTCGCCTCGCCATACATTTGCTAATTTCAGCAGTTTATCAACTGGGAATGGCGATTATGGCCGAGCTGGAGGCTAGCACTTTTGACAGGTGATCGCCGCTCTCAGTGGTGGTGAAGATTCTTTTCTTCATGTTAGGTGGAGAAGCTCGATGGTGACTCTGCTGGAGCGCGTGGAGAATCTAGACAGGTACCGCATTATTAGGCGAAAAATGGCTAAGTGAATTTTTTTTCGAAAATCGGACCCGTGTAGTATTTGAGCGATAGAAGTATAATATGGTGCATGATGTTGAAAATCCTAAGCGAATTTGAGGTCTGTATGACGAGCTAAGCTGGTGACACGTTTTCGCGCAACGTGTAACGCACAGATCTGACTCTGTGTACAGCCATTCTATAATTAGTGAGGAAATTCCTGAGCTCAGCAACTGAGGAAAGCGAACATATATTCCTACTCCAACACTGTATAGGAAACTCCTGAGCTCAGCAACTGAGGAAAGCGAACATATATTCCTACTCCAACACTGTATATATCTGAGGAAAGCGAACATATATTCCTTCAACACTGCTTATGCTGTTAGTGAGACTATCGATTGTGAATTTTTCGGTTGTTATTTTGTGGAAAAATTTTTTCCTTTTTTTCAGTTCCTGTGGTGATAAGGCAGCTGGGAGTATCTTCTTCTCCCAGCTGGCATTCATTGAGTATTACGATGACTCTGTCTCGGAAGCGGAGGAAAAGCCGAAGATTTTCAAACTGGTAGGGCTGAATAGATAGCACGTCGAGTTGGTTATGATATGACGTTTTTTCGCAAGGCAGTGTGGGCGGAAAATATGCACATGGTCAACTACATGTGTTGGTGATGACAATATGAAAATTGTGGGCGCATCTCGAAGAATTTTCATTGGTTGCTGTACTCTTCTAGCCGAATTCGTGAGGAAACTCTTAGGCTCAGCTGAAGAAAGCGAACAACAGCTATGTCAGTAACTGGACAGGCACGGTATGCGTCAAACTTCATATCAGAACATCATACTGTGTTGAAGGAATATATGTTCGCTCTCCTCAGCTCAGCTCGGGAGTTTTCCCACTAATTTCGAGAGTTCGTCCTCGAAGAGAACAGAAACCAACAATAATTTCACAAAATTTCCCAAAAATTTTCATATTTTCATCACCAACACATGTAGTTGACCATGTTGCATTTTATTTTCCTCTCACACAGAGTGAGATGCTGTTGTCGCTCCCCGTGAATACTTCCGAGTTTGAGTAGCTCTCACTAATGGTATGTCATAATCTCGCTCGCCCTTTTATATCACTAACGGTGATGACAGTTATGACGGGTTCAATCTACCAGTTTATTTGTTCTTCAGTGAAGTTTCAGATCAAAAAACTCGAAAAAATGACGAGAAATATCAAGAAGAACATACGCTCCTTTTTCTCGAACACATTTCACATATTGGAGATTACTGCTCCCGAACTTATCCAGAAATTTTCAGAGGTTTCTGGATTTTACGTGTCAGGTAGCTTCGCCCGATTCTCGCAACAAAAAAGTGGTAAATACGAGGTTGTTCATCAACTCAGTGGAAGATGGTTCGGGAACATATGTTCCGGTAATCTCGCTCGCCCGCGAATAGTGAGCATTCACGCAGGGTTATGTTCTTCAGGATGTTAATTGGAAAGAAGGAGATTTGATCTCGCGAGATCGAGCCTCGAGGAGGTCTACTTTGATACCATCGGTGGGCGACGCTGAACTGGAAACGCAAACTAGAGTAAGGTGGAAGCTCGTTCTAGTGATATGCAAAACATATTTCACGACTACTGCATATCACCGCGAATAACGCGTTTTTCACCGAGTTTTACGCCACTTCACGTAAAACGGTTGGAACTTCATTGGAGTTTCACCCGTGATGTGAAAAACACTAGTGAAAAACACATTTCACATTTCACTTCGCGAAAAACGGGTGAAACTCCATTGTTGTTTATGAGTAACACTATGGGATAATTTGCTACGTTTATTGATGAAAATATGAAAATTCTGGGAAATTCTTGTTGTTTTCTGTACACTCCTACGTAAATTAGTGAGTAAACTTCTACACTCAGTGGAAAACTTATTCTTAAAGTTGCAATATGGGATAGTTCACACGCGGTGCTTTGCCGAGATATGAAAATTCTTGTTGTTTTTCTGAAAATTTCTACCCGAATTCGTATGTGAACTCGTGAGCTCAGGCGGGTAGAGCGAACATATATTCCTCCAACACTGACAAGTAACTTTTGGCATTCTCAGAAGCTGGCGCACGAGTTGTTCGTACGGAAAACGCAACCATTGACGTTGATTAACAGAAATGATGGCGATCTAACCGTACGATTGTACAACAGGATGGATCAGATTTGTGCGGTAAACCAACGGGAGAGTTTTCACGTTTTTTTCTGCCTTTTGTTTTGTTTTGTTGTTGTTGATCCCTGTTGTTGTTGTTGTTGTTGTTGTTGTTGTTGTTGTTGTTGTTGTTGTTGTTGTTGTTGATCCCTGTTGTTGCCTGTTGTTATTCTTTTTTCCTTTTCAACAACAACAAAACTCAATACTTCCGAATAGAAATTCCAGTAAATTATCGATCTAATAATAAACTACTACATTCTACTTCGAAACGATTATATTCGAAGCTGTTAAGTGAGGACGCTCTTTCTTCTACGGAGTAGCATGCGTCATGCCGTAGATACCCGTGGGAGGTATCAAAGGCCCCGGAGTGGGAACTGTAAAAGAGGGCAAAAGACTCTATTTGCGACCGCCTTCTTCCCATGACGTATTCTGGATGAAAGTAAGCATGTGAATTAGCGTCGAAATTATGGATGTGAGATATCCCGACTTTGATTTTGCAAATCTGCGTCGTTGAAATTTTCGCTCACTCGTCACGAAGTGAAATTCGTGTTTCCTCTCCTCATCGGAGCTCAGGAATTTGCTCACTAATTATAGAATTTTACACACGAATTTGGGTAGAAACCAAAAAAATTTCCCGAAATTTTCTCAGAAATTTCACGTAGTTGACCATGTGCAAATTAGCCCATATCGGTATTTTGGAAAGAAAATTTCCCGCTAGTTACAGAAGTTTACATACGAATTCGGGCAATCGTGTACAGAAACCAACAAGAATTTCCCGATTTTCATATTAACGCCATTCCTTAAACTGGTGTATCACACGTTGTGTGTAGGTCTTCCCCGCAGGATCGACAAACTCCATATACAATTGCGAAGTCCATCGTGGTCAGACCTGGGAACTACATCGTCACAGCGCTTCATTACTCATCGATGCTGCCCGCAGAGGTTAACGCTCGTGTCTACTTGAAGTTTTACCGTTTTCGAATCTTTTGTTGTCAATTTGGGTAAAAGGGTACAATGAAAGAATAAAGAATTCGTGGGGAAATGTGCGATGTTTTTATCGAATTTTTTTGCACTTTTTCATGTTGTTTCCGCCTCACTATGGGGTTATATCGCGTAAGTGGATAAATGTTTTATTTCAGAGTGATTATAATCATAGGCGTAGATGTGGTAATGAGTATAAATAATAAAATACTTCTTTTCGAGATGTCGTTGTTCATAATGGAGGTTCACCCTAGTGATATGAAAAACACTAGTGAAAAACATATTTGACAACTACTGCATATGGCGGATATCGTGTTTTTCACCGAGTTTTACGCCACTCCACGTCAAACGGGTGAAACTCCACCATATAACTAGATTGTTGTGATGGTTAAAACGGCAATTTCGAAGTAAAACTGTTTCCATAATAGTGGAGTTTCTCCCGTTTTACGTGAAGTGGCGTAATACTCCGGGTGAACTCTAGACGTGTATGCCTTCGTGGCCGATAACACAGTTGTTTTCCTCAAGTGAAGTGTGAAACGTGTTTTTCACTAGTGTTTTTCATATCGTGGGTGAAACTTCAATAAATTTATATTACATTGTAGTTATGAATATATCTAAATGAATTGATATTGTAAATTATATGTTATTGGAGTTTTATTCGCTTTACTTGAAGTCGAATAATTCTCAGTGAAAAACGCGATATTCGTGGTATTTAGTAGTCGTGAAACATATTTTTCACTAGTGTTTTTCATATCACTAGGGTGAAACTCTAATGTAAGTATATTTAATTTCGAACTATCATGACCACTGACTCGGCCATCCTACGAGACAGTGCCGCTTCGGGCGGCTCTCACGGTTTCTCTCTCTCGAGCTCCCTCGCATCGTCGGTGTACTCCTCGATGGAAGTCCCGAGGACCGAGTATGACCAGCTCAGTGCAAGCAGCAACAGCAGCTCCTCATCGTCATCGTGTGATGGGAGTACTGATGAGGCGTCACCAGCGTCGAGGGGAATGCAGGTGTGAATGGTCAGAAAAAAAAAAGAAAAAATCGGAATAAATTCTGAAATTGCGGAAAAAAATCAAAATCGTTTTCAGTGCTTACAAGTTCGCCTCTTCTCATTACCTCATTGTGAAGTTTTGCAATGACTCCAATTTATGTAAACGTATTCATTCATACCGTAACTTTGTTAAATCCCGGCATTAGAGCCCTCACTTGATCACGGGTGGCAAATTTGTACGAAAATAATGACAAACACGTTCCACATCGGCATGTGAAAGTGTTTTCCATATAGATGTTCTCATTCGTTGCTAAGACTCGCAAGAGCAACGAATCTAGCAAAGATTAGATGAGATTCGCTCAGTAAAGATTGCTAAGAGTTGCTGTTGCTATTTGCGTTCAGATTCGCAGGTCGGTGATATCCTTACGAGTTCCCGCCCAACGAGCAGTGAGGAGTGCAAGTCTCGGCCCCCTACGTAGCCTGCAAGATCACAGTCATCGCCGTAGCAGGTATTCGCCTTGTATCGGTGGCTTCATAACGAGAGTATTTATTCAGATCTATGGTGGAGGAGTTCACGGTTGTTAACCCCGAGGTGCCTGAAACGGAGGTGTCGTTGGAGCTCACACCAACAGCAACGACTGAATCTATTGAAGAAACTGAAGTCACACCTGAGCCGCCACAAGCCTCGGGGGAAGATGACGATGTTTTACTCGGTTATCTACAAGCTAGGACTGAGTCGAAACGTGTATCGTCTACAGTTGGCAAGCCCCCGTTGAGCCGTAGCAGTAGTTCGCCAACTCTAGCGACTGCTATCAGGAACGTTAGGCGATCTATGGCAAGTGTGAGCGACTCTCTGGAAAAGGAAACGACAATTTCACCGGACAAATCACCAGAGCGAGGAAGTTTGAATTCAATGTGTGTTTTGGCTCGCAGTTCGTCATTTTTCTATCGATAAGTACGGAGAACACTATGGAGGTCCCTGTGGTTGAACATTTGCAAAGTGTGGTCATTTGTGCGGAAGATCTTGAGCCTTGCGAAGTGCCATTGGAAAACGGTCTCGTTGTAAGAGTTGGTTACCCTGAGCGAGGCTGGGTCAGCGTGTTTACTGCGACGACTGCTGAAGCTGCTGTTAAAATTCGACCGTCTGGAGTGGGCTTGCAATGTGAGGGGAAAGACTACCGCTTAAGTGAGCTAGACGAGAACAGCCAGTTGTGGTTGTTGTACCAAACAGCGAGAGAAGTTGTAGATCGATTACGTGAAACCACTTGTCGAATACGAGGGAGCGACCAAGAGTCGTTCATAATGGCGGATGATATCTCGGTGACTTCAAGGACTTTTGGTATAGTCTTTCACGCACAGCAACGGCCGTGGAAAGGCAATGTGTCGGTTAAAGAAGTCAGAGTGGTAGCTGAGGAAAGCCGGTGGAAACTCCTCTGTAACGGTCTGGACCTGCCAGCGGTCACAGTACCTGTTTCGGTCATCGATGAGAGATCAAGGGGAGTAATGGAAGCCTTGTTGAAGCGTGACTTAGCAGCTTCCTCTACGGTTGATGTTACCTCGGTCGTGACTCTGATGATTTCGGTGTGGCCCACGGTGGTTGCAAGGAGGAGTGAACTGATTGACAGAGACTTTGATATGATGGCGAGAGCGCACAGCGAATATTTGGAGAAGATGCGTGCGAGTGCGGTTCCCAAGGATATAGTTGACAAGCTGGGTGGTGTATCGTCGTCGTCGTCTTCGACGGCGGTTGTGGTTGCTGCAAGTGGTGGTTGAATTTGATAAGTGAATTAGTAACGACTGTTGTACCATGTTGAGGTTTCATTGCTAGTGTTCGAATGTTGACTTGCAAAGAAACGCTAATGATGCCAACAGTTCGCTCTGGCGACTCTTCTGAATTGTCATTATTGTAGTGGGAGTGTTGCAGGACCCAGACGATGTCGTCAAAAGTTGGTATGGTTCAAAGGCCTCAATTGGAATACAGAACCTTACAACTCTAATATCGTTCACTTGAATGATCGCTGAGTATATATAAATTTGACAGTGTAGTACTTCACAACCCAACGAGAATGGTATCAGTAGTAGATCAAAGCAACTAGTATTACAGCGATTAGAGACAGTAGACAAGACAGAGTGGCGCATTGCGAAGAGGTTGTTCACTACTCGATATGCCCAAACGCATAACCAACAGAATCACGTATTTACTTGAGCACGAGACTCCCTCGGTGGTCTACAGTCGTCTGACCAGCTCTCAGAAAGCCCTTGTGGATAGCATAAGTTCTTCTGATGACGAGGAGGACCACTACGAAGACGCCCAGCGTGAGAAAGGTGGCTTTTATCAAAACTACGATTGTTATCAGCCGGTCGGGCTAGAAATCGTCGAGCATGGGTGAAGACCTTGGACAGAGTCTGGACGCGTTTTGTATCCCTTATTTGGATCGCTGTATGCGTTACGATGATCTACTACACAAACTTCTTCCGCGTCGTATGGGAACACCCCAAGGTCTGGCCAGGTTTCGCAACTCGATCGACATAAAATCTCAGGCGAACCGTGGTTGCCTGTTGGTCGCCTTCGGACTGCTAGGCTTCAATATGATGCTATTGTTCTATCTCGGCGTCTATCTTGGAACCATCAAGAAAATCAGCGTCCCATGGGATGAGTGAGTGATCACGGCATCCATGATTGAACCGCGATTCCTTTTTATACGAGGTACATGCCAGCGTTGATGCCGATAATGGCCGCTATTGGTCTGTTCACATTCATCATGTTCCTGCTAGCCCTACTGCCTGTCTTTGGCTGGTGGACCGTGCCCATACAATTCACTTTCTTCATGGCATTCGTCAATGTTGGCAACCTACTACCAAGTAAGTTATTCTACAGAACTGTTATAATCGTTCCTGTTCAGGTGGGCCGATCGGCAGCATACTCACCTTCGTAATATTCCTTGCCGCATTTTTCACTTCTAACTACATCCCCCATGAAGGATATGCGCACTATTAAGCGACGCTTATCGATGCCTAGAGTTCAGTCTAATTGAGTAACCTTCTTATGCGACGAGTATCAGTCGTTTCCATCATACAAGAGACCCACTTCCTTGAAGTCGGACCGTGAAAAATATCGATGGTCGAATCGTATTTGATATCGGACGCTCATCATGAGCTGAGTGCTTGTCCGCTACCACAGGTGACGTATAAGGAGCTACTTTGCTATCATTTGTCCTTCAGACGGCGTCCTTGTCATGCGTGAGTGACCTTTATAGCATAATCACTTCTCTCACAAAAGTTGATGCAAATGTGCGTATGGCTTTCAACGTCAGTGTAAACAGTGTTGTTTTCGAAGTGGATTTTTACTGTACTACTACTAACACAACCACGTCACAGTATGGCTACATACATCTACCGGTCAGAATGATACGACGAAAGGTGGCGCAGTGTCCACCTCGAGATTAGAGGCATCTCGTGTACAACTAATCTCGCCCTGATAATCTCGGAAGAGGCCTTGAAGACCCCTCCGGTCGCAAAATATAAACACGAGTGACGATGCTTGTCCTCGGAGAACTTCACAAAAAAGTTATATCACAGAAAAGAATGAAATTCAACTGCATCTTTGAAAACTCATAACTAATGACGATCAGCAGTTGCAATTAGTCCTCACAACCAATGTCGCTCGAAAAGGAGCCGAATTGCGACTCGCTCGGCTGAAATAAAAAACCCAAAATCACACAAATTGCGATCGATCTATCCTACCGCTGTGTCGATGCTTTCGATGTGTCTTGAACGCTTTCCTGTATACGGGTTCATCGAGACGGAGATGATCTCGTCGTCCGATGAAGCCTCAGAATCAGTGGCAGAATTGAAACATTCGGGCAGAACTGTGGGGAGGAGAGTGACGTTATCGATAATATAGTCGACTCCCGGGAAAGGACCTAAGACATCGATGGGCACGAAATCAAGGAAAGAACCTTGGTCTCAGTGTTGGACTATACGCTCGCTATCTTCACTAATCTCGGAATGTCACACATAAGTTCGGATAGAAGAGTACAGAAACCAATAAAAAGTGTTCAACAAACTCCTCACATTTTTCATATCGTCACAAATACATGTAGTTGACCATGTGCATATTACCTACCTTTCAGTGTACCACTCGGATTGACCAGAACTGTGCGCCATCCGACCTGCTTAGCCGCCTCCAAATTCGCAGCAGAATCATCCACCAAAATGCAACTCGATGGATCAGTAACGCCAGCGATATTCATAGCGATGTCTGAGGTAATACTTGGAATCCATTCAGCGGGTAAGGCTACCAATTCAGCGGATAAATCAATTTCACGCCGTGTAGGAATAAATGTTTGCTTTCCTCAGCTGAGTCCAGAGGTTTGTTTCCTCACTAATTTACATAAAAATTCGGGTAGAAGTGTACAGAGGCCAATAAGAATTTTCTCAGAATTTCTCAGAACGCCACCTACACATGTAGTTGACCATGTGCATATTTTCCCACGCCGATTTCGCGGATAAGGAAATCAATTTCACGATGAAGGTATAGATCGAAAAAAAGCTTACTATAGCAAGGAGCCTTCCTCTTAGTCTCGAAATTGCACATGGCAGTATCGATGACATTCGGAAGGAGATCTTCAACACCCAGCAATTTGAGACAGCGTAGACAGTGTTGCATTGGCCCGACTGTGAGGACCCACGTGGGGACGCCTGAGAGGCACTATAGGAAAAAAGAGAATACAATATGTACGACTTCGAGAAATCAACAAACACAATATAGGGAAGAGTCGATCGCAATACGATGGAGGTCAAAGACGGTACGAAGGCTTGTTGAAGACGAAATAATATCACCGTCAAATCTGTGATGTATGTGTAAAAAATTAATACCGTGATTGAGAGCGAATACCTCTATCATCCACTGGAGGGATATTTTTAGAATCCTACCGTAGCAAAACCGTCGAAGAATACAATGAATATTCATCATTAATTAGTGTGTGGGAGTGCTAGGTCAAACGCCGAGAACCGACTCAGTCAGACTCTATGTTGGAATAGGAATATATGTTCGCTCTCCTCAGCAGTGCTCAAGAGTTTCCTCACTCATTATAGGAGTTTATATACAAATTCGGGTAGAAGTGTTACAAAAACCGAAAAGAATTTCCCAAAATTTCCACATTGTCACCCGCACATTTAGTTGACCATATGGACATTTTTCGCAGCCGAATGGTCTCGTTCCCAAAGTGATGAGTTCAGGCAAGTTCATTGAGCATAGAGGATTCCGTGCAAACAGCCGGACTAGGCCGGACCGGATGGTTTTCATAGTCTCTTGGACCCTCTTGGCTGTTTTTTGGTGATCAGAAAAAACAGCCAAAGATAAATTTTTACTCACAGCAATGTGACTGTCCCCACCATATAATGGAATTTCACCACCCGTTTTACGTGAAGTGGCGAAATACTCCAGGTGAAAAACGCGATATGAAGTGAATTCAAAATACTTCGCGAATTAGACCAGCCGAAACGCCAACCAAAGGCTCACCGATGCGCTTTAGCATTTCTCTAACAGACGGGTCCGGGGGGATGAGGTCACACAGCTCGCTGAGAGCATGCGTTTCGTTGAAGTATCGTGCGATCTGACAACAACGAAAATTTAGCGGAGCGAAGCTCAACTTGGTCTAGCGGTTTACTTCTGCTTTATCATTTTTCGCGATGTATCCCTCTTCGATGAGGCCCTTGATGCAGGTGCCGTATTGAGAATAGAGGGAATATCCACCAGAAGAGTCCAAACCAAAACTAAACAAGAGTAATCGAAAGGTCCCGGGTTCGAATCCCCCCAGCGACATCTTACTTTTGATATATGTACTTCCCTATTTTTCGCGTCAATAAACGTCCCACTTCACGTCGATCCTTCCAATACAAAGTGTCGTCGCAGTCTAGGAACAACACTGGTCTGATAATAACAATGATCATCAGAGAAAAGCAAGTAAGTGAATTAAGACTCTAATTCAATGGAGCTTCACCCTAGTGATATGAAAAACATATTTCACGACTACTGCAAAGTGTGAATATCGCGCTTTTCACGGAGTTTTACACCAGTTCACGTAAAACGGGTGAAACTTCAATGAGCAATAAATTTCTGCTTCGATGAGATCCATCAATAATCTATGATGATTTTCAGTTATTCTGTCCTAATTTTGTTATCTCCTTTCCATCGACAAACTCCCTCTCCTCCCCTGTGTGTCCTACTCGCTGGCC